GTTGATACGAGTAAATCAAGCAAATCAATTAGTCGTAATTTAGGAGTACTTTTAAGCAGAACCTCTTAATTCTACAGAACTTCTTTAAATTTATATTTTATGTAATAAGTGTTAACTATATATATTAATAGTTCCAGTTATGTAATAAAAGTGTCGTACGACAAAAAGATAATAATAGAAATACTCAAAGCTCTATTCTTGATGTATACACTGGTTATTTATCTGAAACACTGATACTTACCAAAGCACTGTACTATAACGGATTGCCGTCCGGGTTCTTCGCGGATGTCGAAGAGCCGTTGTTTACACTGGATTAAAAAGAATTAGAGATTGAGAAAGGATAGTTACCAGGTGCGAACGAATCGCAAGACAAGTGCACGAGGAAAGAGGATAGACTACTAGGCGTTAATGAACGAACTCTCGAACTTAAACCTGGTAGACGGACAACGACAACCGAGTACTCTTGACTGATGACATATGGCTACGGTAAAGTCGACTGACAAAAAATCATTGAATTTAATTGTCTTTTATATTGTTTTACATTTTGCAACTAAACATTAAGTTAATTTGATTGTTTAGTAATCAGTCTCGAGTCGTCGGAAGCACTGCCGATATTTATTTTTATAAATTTACCTATATTGATGAAGTGGTCATCATATAACAAAGGGTTAATTAGATTATAAAACAAATTTTTTTTTTGGAATCGGATCTTATTTTTTCAACCAAAAGCATAAAAATAAACACTAAAATATCAGCCAGATAATTGATATGTTTACTAGCCACCTCAGATACCAGCTTTATCTATAATTCCACCACTACTTTAAATTTATTCGGTACTTCAACGAGACATGTACTGCTATAAATATATTATTAAATTTGTTGTAATATATATACATATAAATGAATATCTGTCTGTTTGTTTGTCCTTTATGCATTAGTACACCATTCATCCGATCGCCATGAAACTTTGGGAAGCTGTTGAGTACACTCCCGTCAACCTAACTAGCATAGTACTTTTCTAAAATTTCACCCCTTAAGATGGTCTCAAACACGAACTTTGTACTTTAAATACGAAATATTTTCCGTTTCTAACCCGAAATTAACATTTGGTTTGTAGCCATGGTAACCACGGTACTCGAGCGAATGGTAGGTTAAAGAAACAGGCCGATTCTATGTACCACGGTTGTAGGCAAGCTTTTAACTGTTGGAACGGGATCTTGGACTGAGACTTGGACCCTTGAGTAAAAGAAGGACATAATAACCGAAAAATGTGTCACAAAAACGCTTTCACGCTGTTATCTGATAAGAGATTAGAGATGAGGTAAGGGAGTAGGAATGGGGATAGGGATAGGGGAGGAATGGGAATTATTTTACTCAGCCCTGGCAAACTAAATTTTGAACTACGCCGGATTCGGACAGCTTGTACACGGTAAAAATAGTTTCAACAGTTTTCAAAAAAATACCTTCGTTATTTTTTACATAAAGCACTTATTTACACAAAAAGTCGCGTGAGACGCTTATAAATTGTTGATATTATGTTTTTAAATACTCGAATGCACAAGGTGTTTTGTTAGTATAACCTTATTACATGTTAATCGTATATATCTTATTACGGAATAAACGTATATGGAAAAACCAGCTTGTTTAGCTTTGATGCGAACAATAAATGATATTTAAGTATTATTGTCGGTTATTATACATACTTTGTACTTGCTATAATATTTGTAACGATATGGTACTATCATGCAAGCAAATTCAGTCGTTCTAAAACACAAATTATAAAACAAAGTATGGCTAAGAAACAGCTTGCTTTCCATAAAAAAAAAACAGAACAGTCGGGGCATAGTGGGAACGGGGGGCAAAAGTCTTTAATTGAGATGCTGTATTTACAATAAGCATCAAAGCGTTTATTTGAAAGTGATTTTATTCAATTTTGTCACTTTAATTTATAATAATTCCTGTAGACCTGTGACCTCCGTCTCCTCGTTGCTTTGATTCCATTATGCCTTTATTCTACTGTAATAGTCCTCTCGGATAAAATCACTTTCAAATAAAAAAAATTTTAATTTAATTTTTGGGGTCGGTGATTACGAATTTCATATCAGTCCTCAATTTTAAACAGCCAGAAAGAACTAAAGTAAAAAAAAAAAAAAATTGAATTTGTGTAAACTTAAAGTCAAAAGTGGTACTTGAGCACAAAACTTAAAAGTATCATTCAGCATAGATCTACATAAAGTTGTTTTAGTGATTTGATAATTTTTTTTTTAAGAATTTAGGTGTTTTTGTTAAAATATACGCAATCTGCGAAAACACAGTTTTCCGAAAATTTAAGAAAAACTGTAGTGCCGAATTTAATTTCCGTATGATATGTTATGAATACATATGAGTTCTAACTACTGACAAATTTCAACCTATAGGTCTTAAAATTATGGTTAAAAAACTAAAAAAACTAAAAAAACTGAACCCCCTCTAGGGGGGTGGAAAATGGGTTTAATTTAAATTTGATACAACTGACGTGTGCGGGCATACCAAATAAATATTTCTTATAAATTTCACCTCGATCCGACTTTTTTTCTCGAAATTATAGCTAGTAAAAGTTCTAACTTAAAAACTCATACGGTTTTTTTTTTTGTTTTTTCAAATTTCGACTGTGAAGAAGTAAACTTTTTCAACTTTTACTCCCTCCAAAGTACCAACTGGATGAAATTTTGTGATTTAAAGATATGCTATTCAAAGGAATTGGTCCAGTATTAAAAAAGTTACAGTGTATACAGATAAAAAAAAACATACATCAGAGTAAAACCAATACCCTATCGCTTTGCATCGAAGCTTAAAATAGTAATAATATTAAATTGTGTTTGTAAAGTACAACAGTTGTTTTAATGTAAAAACTTACTGTAAACGTTTGATGCTAACAGTTGTTTGTCGGTTTTCTACATTGTATAATCTATTCCTATAATGAGTAGGTAACAACGGTCAGTTTCTTATATCCTTCAAATGGTATTTATACTTCCTAACCAGATGGTCTCCAATGTTGGTCCAATATTATTATACTAACCTCCTAATATGATGGTTTGTAATGGAGAATTAAGGTTAAAGCTAGGTACCTAATTTTAGAACCTACTATCAAATTATGCTAAATTATATAGAACTAGTTTAGCATTATTCAGATCTTGTAGACCTGTGATTTAGATGTAGTAATAACATCACATTCAAGACAACGATTCTATTCTAACTTGTATTTTTTTTCTTATATGGCAATTAGTTATGGGTGAGATTAAAAACTTATATAAAAACTGTGTTTTTTTTCTCACTACTGTTTGCAATATTTATATAATACGTTTTGTTATACATTATGTTTCTAAAATTTATTTTTATTTATTATTAGCAAAACTACGACAAAATTTTTAAGGACATTGAAGGACCATAGACCAAGTTCTATATAATATGTATTGCTAGTAAATAATACCGCACCAGTAGAGCACGGTTATTTCACAGGTATTTGTATTTAAACCATACGACATGGTCCATGTAAATAATACCTAGTCAAAACTGAAAAAAACAATATCTGAATGAGATTCGCACCGTTTACTTTGCTAACCATCAAGTCAACGGCTATACGATTGCAGTAATTCAATTGTTACTTTGAAATAATTTGAACCACTACAAAAATCAAATTTCTGTTTGGACTGAAAAATGTGCAGACCAAAGTAATACCTCTTGAAAGGCACAATGGTTTTTTTTTCTCGACGCTTACCCTAATAAGTTCCTGGACTCCTGACGTATAATAAATAAAATTCTACATGTACATGTACATACATTTATTTGTACTTTTTTTATGATTATAAATAATAAATATGTTATAGGTATTTAGCTTCAAAGCGAGACATTTTAGTAGGAGCATTCGGTAGTATTTTGTCTTGGACCATAATCCAAAACGATTCTATCAACCAGATTGAATGTGGTATAATATGATTTTCAATTTTGTCTACAAACATTTTGCCTACTCTAAGAAAGTCATCAACGGTAGGTTTTGATATTACGTTCTTGCCTTGACAATCGCTCACTAGTGATTTAATTTTGGGTTAACGAAATTCCTTCGTAATTTCATCAATCAACCATTGAATGTCATCTTTTAAATTGCTCATGCAATTTTCAAATTCAGAGGTACCTTAAAACTCTTATTTACACAAAAAGTCGCGCGAGGCGCTTACAAATTGTTGATATAATGATTTTGAAAATCCGTATTTGCAAAGTGTTTTGTTAATATGACCTCATTACGTGTATACACCTCATCTATGCATCAATATACCAATATATTTTATCAAAATACCTATGCGTCGCTTACAGAAAGCTCTTATTTAAACAATAAGTCCTGCGATATGATTATCAAATATTCCTTAGATCTAATCTTGGTCTATTTGCCAAACCTAAAACCCTAGGACTTCACATAAAAAGCGAAATAAGGATAAAGTTTTCACGCCTTTCAGGGGAAAATATATTTATTATTATTTTAATTATTATTACTTCTTATTATGATATTTGTTTGGTTTGTCAAACGTTTATCAGTTGAGTTATATAACTTACAGAGTTATGAAATAATCTATTCTTATCATACGTAGGTAACGACGGCCAGTTGTCTTATATCCTTTAAATGGTATTACTACTTCCTAACTAGATGGTCTCTAATGGTGGTCCAATTTTTGTATACTAACCTCTTAATATGTTGGTTTGTAATCGTACCACCAAAATTAGAGACCGGTACCTAATCATAGAACCTACTATCAAATTATGTTAAATTATATAGAACTAGTTTAGCAGTATGCAGTTCTACAAGATCTGTTATTTAAATGTAGTAAAGATATCACATTCAAAAAAGGCTTCGAATATAATCATTTATACATTTATTTGTACTAATTTTAAATAAATCCACAATCGAAAAAATTAAAATAAAGGTGCATTATGGTAAAATAAAAGTGCCATAGTGTTGTAGTATGAATAATTATTTTTTATGGTTATATAATATAATATGTTTTAGGTCAATTAGCTTCATCGCGAGACGTAGTAGAAGTATTAGTTAGTATTTTTTCACGGACCATAATCCAAAACGATTCCGCCAACCTGATCGAATGTGGTATAATATGATTTTCAATTTTATCTACAAACATTTTGCCTACTCTAAGAAAGTCTTCAACGGTAGGCTTTGATATTACGTTCTCGCCTTCACAATCGCTCACTATTGATTTGATTTTGGGTAAAAGAATATTATTCGTGATTACATTAATCAACCTATACATTTTTTGTTGAACCTTGCTCATGCATTTGATAAAACTAAAGAGATCTTTCTCGTGCAATAGGCAACTTGCGAATATTTCATAGACGTTTTTGAATGCCACATTATCGTGCAACGACATTATGTCCATAAACTTGCCTACGATTTGTAATTTGAACGTGTTTGTGTAGTTCAAAAACTCAATGAATTGGTCGCTTTTCCGATCTTGAGATTTAAGAGTGTAAGACAACATCATTTCCAGCATTAATATTTTTAACGTGCCGATAATCTGACGCTGTCTCTTTTTAAGTACTTTGACTCCCTCCAACCCACTTGTGATATTCGGAAAAGGTGCGCTGATAAAGAGTGTTGACCTATTGGAATTGTCGACCACAAATTCGTCAATAATCAATTTGTATGTTTCCTTGTCGTGAAAAAGAAACAAGCCGTCCGTTAATGATTCGGACATCGAGAACTCCAATAGTCCTCTCTGCCGGTTTTTTTCGAAATTGTTATGCAGTAATCTTTTTTTCTGTTGTATTGCATCTATCACGCTGCCATTGTTTGCAGCACTGGCAGATTCAGCTTCTGAATTATTACACAAAGACAGTTGTTGCTCTGCCAACGAATTATGGTTTTCGTAATTTATGTTGAAAGAGTTTTCCAATGGACACATGCAGCGGTCCAAGTCTTTTTCAATTTCGGTTAACACGAATTCGTGCATCCGTCGTGTTTTGTTTAAAACTTTCGAACTAAACTTACCACCGTCATTAACAATTTGCCCAAAGAAAACCCTTATTTGGCGGGTGTATATAAAAACTAACCAAAGATTTTTTACCTCATAGTTGTTTGGAACCAACAACGAATCGAGCATCATAGACGCTTCTTTATCGAACAAGAAATCCTCAATTGTCTCTGGCGTGAGAATATCTTTGATGTTGTCGAAAACCGCATCGCCCATTAATTTCAAATGAAACAGAGTGCTGTAAAAGTATCCGCATTCCAGGTAACGGTACAAGTCCAAATGTTTTTGGCGCAAATCAACGAGAGACAAATTTTCCAATTTTTTACGATCATATTCGTCTTGGTTATTGTAACCGGTAGCCAATTGCTTTAAGCTTTGTAATTTGTCTAAATAACTCTCCTTTTCTACCTGGTCGTCGGAAGACCATACACTGGTTATAAGAAAAACTAGTACATACCATGATTTCAACACAGCCATTTTGTCAACTCTTACAATTATTTCTTAATCTGCGAAATATTATAATACTTTTGTATTAATTGTTAGCTGCTATATCTTTGATAAAAGACAATCGTGTCGATTTTACTTACTCAGACTTGTAGATGCGGCTGTCAATGTACTTGTGCGGCATATCGAAACAGTTTTCAAACAAATACCGTCGTTGTTTTTTACATAAAGCACTTATTTAAACAAAAAGTCGCGCGAGGCGCTTTTAAATTGTTGATATAATGATTTTGAAAATTCGTATTTGCAAGGTGTTGTGTTAGTATGACGTGTTTATCGTATACACCTCATCTAAGCATCAATATACATATACATTTTATCAAAATATCTACGCGTTGCTTACACAAAGCTCTTAATCAAACAATAAGTCGCTCGGTGTGCTTATAAAATATTGTTGTTATCTTTTTTCTTCGCGTTTGTACCATCGAAAAACATATGTGTGTTCCACAAGTATACGATTTCTGTTAATACAACAAAAAAAAACATACCTTATATTTTAGTTAGAAAATATGCTAATATTTTCTGTAAAAACTAACGATCCTTTTAGTCTACACACATATTAAATTACATACCGCGAAATACACATCAATAAACAATAGTGTCAATATATATCAATAGTAGTTAGTATTTTCATACAAGTTAAGTCCAAACCAATCACAGTAAGAAAATATGAGGTGCAGTGTTTACGAATTTGTATCAAAGCGTTTTTTTCAAAAAGAACGGTTTTTTTTTTTTTTTTTAGAAACGGCTCCTTATTTTTTCAACCAAAAGCCTATTCATTTACATCAATACAAACATAATAACAAAAAATGTGTTTACTAAAAAAAAAATATATACAAAGGCAAAAAGGCATTTTTTAAGTATTATTATTGGTTTTAATACAAAATTTGTATTTATTATAATATTTGTAACATTATGCAAGCAAATTCAGTCGTTCTAGAATACAAGCTATAAAACAAATTAAGTAGTTTTCCCCTTTTTGGCTTTGTCCCTGAAACTTCACCTAAAAAGCAAAATAAAGAAGAACTTTCCTCGCTTTTAGGGAATTGATTTATGATCTGTGCATCAATATACCTATATATTTTGTCGAAGTACCTATGCGTCGCTTACACAAAGCTATAATTTAAACAAGTCGTTCGATGTGCTTATAAAATATTGTTGTTATCTTTTATCTTCGCCTTTGTATGATCGAAAAACATAAAACAAATGTGTTTTCTACATGTATACGATTTCTGCTAATACAACAAAAAAACAAGCTTAATTTTTAGTAAGAAAATATGATTATATTTTCTTTAAAATCTAACGATCTCTTTAGTCTACACACATATTAGATTACATACCGCGAAATACATATTAATAAATGAATACCTATAGAAAAAGCCAGTACAGTGGGGTCGGGGTATAGTGGAGACGTGGAGGTCACAGGTTTCAGGAGTTATTACGACTGAAATAAACGCTTCGATGCGAATCAGTAGTTAGTATTTTCATACAAGTTAAGTCCAAACCAAGCACAGTAAGAAATTATGAAGCGCAGTGTTTACAAATTTGTATCAAAGCGTTTATTTGAAAGAGAACGGTGGTCATTTTTGTTTTTTTTTGGAATCAGCTTCTTATTTTTTCAACGAAAAGCTCAGCCTATTTCGTTTAATTTAATTCAAACACAATAACAGAAAATGTGTTCACTAAAAAATAAATATACAAAGGCAAAAAGACATTTTTTAAGTATTATTATTGGTTTTAATACAAAATTTGTAACAATATGCAAGCAAATTCAGTCGTTCTAGAATACAAACTATAAAACAATACATGTAACTTTTCCCTTTTTGGCTTTGTCCCTAAAAACCCTAAATCTTCTACGCCTTCCAGTGGAATAGATTCATGATATCGATTTGGTTTTTCTTCGTTTAGCGGTAGTCTTAGCATAGCCTAAACCAAGCACAGTCTGAACCAAGTACAAGTCAAATACTTGCCCAGTAATAAATTACCTATAAGGGGTCCAGTATCCACAGATTTGTATTAAAGCGTTTTGTTGAATATAATTTTTTAAAAACTTTGCATCTTCTGACTACTTTTATTTAGTTTTAATATGTTTTACTTTATTAGTTAAATTTGTATAGGAAATTGTTTTATAACTTAAAGAGTTATGAAATAATCTATTCTTATGACTGGTAGGTAATATCGGCCAGTTCCTCCTATCCTTAAAATAGTATTTATACTTCCTAACATAACGCTTTAATGCGAATCAGTAGATACTGGATCTCATTTAGGTAAATTATTACTGGAAAAGTATTTTACTTGTACTTGGGTTGAACTGTGCTTGCTTTATTTTTGAGGACGTTGCAGGACCATAGACCAAGTTCTATATAGTATGTATTGCTATAAACTATAACCGTTGTAATTGATGACAAAAATAATTTCAACGTTTTGTTAGACAATAGCGCACCTGTAGAGCACGGTTAGTAAACAGATAATTGCAAACCAATACTTGAATGAGATTCGCACCGTTTACTTTGATAACTATCGAGTCACGAGCTATACTGGTACGGTTGCTGTAATTCAATTGCTACTTTGGCATGATCTGTTAATTAACTACAACACAAGTCAAATTTAGTCGGTTTTTGGACAAAGTTTTTTGGCTGATGTATAACAAATAAAACGCTCTATTGTAACAAACTTGTATATACATTTGTTTAGGTCCAAATTGATATAATTTACGAGTATACTGTACTTATGTTTGTGAAAAGTTTGGACATAGCCAAAAAATACATTTTTTCTAAATTTATAAAATTAGTAAGTATTTATGATTGTGAAAAATCTGGACATTTTGAGAGCTTTTTATTAATAGATCCAAAGACAATTTTAATAGTTTACGTCTTAATATTTATTAGGACAATTATTGAAGAGATACGTGAAAAACAAATATATTACATTAAAATAGACTTTTTTAAATGATTTTATTCGTAATGAACGAAAAATATTGCCTAAAATTTACTGCTCATTTACTATGCACACAATAACAAAAAATGTGTTTTTCCACATTACGAGACATACGTAGGTGGAAAAAGCAGCTTTTTAGCTTCGATGCGAGCAATAGATGATACTTAAGTATTATTGTTGGTTATGATACATCCTTTGTGTTTGCTATAATATTTTTAACAATAGAGTACTATCGTGGAAGCGAATTTAATCGTTCTAAAACACATATAATCATAAAACAAGATATGGCTAAAAACGACTCGTTTTCCATAAGAAAAAAACAGTTCTCCGTTTATAAAAACTTAAAAGAATGTTTAATGCTAACAGTTGATTGTCTGCGGCTACATTATCAAACGACACAAAACGTATCGTTTAACGATACACATTTTACGTAACACATAGCAACTTACACATTGACTATAGTCAATAAGTAATTTTTTCTCTTTTTTTGATTTCCTTAGATCTACTCTTGGTCTATTTGCCAGACCTAAAACCCTAAGACTTCACATAAAAAGCGAAATAAGGATGAAGTTTTCACGCCTTTCAGGGGAAAATATATTTATTATTATTTTAATTATTATTACTTCTTATTATGATATTTGTTTGGTTTGGCAACGTTTATCAGTTGAGTTATATAACTTACAGAGTTGTGAAATAATCTATTCTTATCATACGTAGGTAACGACGGCCAGTTGTCTTATATCCTTTAAATGGTATTAATACTTCCTAACCAGATGGTCTCTAATGGTGGTCCAATTTTTTTATACTAATCTCTTAATATGTTGGTTTATAATAGAACCACAAAATTAGAGACCGGTACCTAATCATAGAACCTACTATCAAATTATGTTAAATTATATAGAACTAGTTTAGCAGTATGCAGTTCTACAAGATCTGTTATTTAAATGTAGTAAAGATATCACATTCAAAAAAGGCTTCAAATATAATCATTTATACATTTATTTGTACTAATTTTAAATAAATCCACAATCGAAAAAATTAAAATAAAGGTGCATTATGGTGAAATAAAAGTGCCTTAGTATTGTAGTATGAATAATTATTTTTTATGATTATATAATATATGTTTTAGGTCAATTAGCTTCATCACGAGACGTAGTAGTAGTATTAGGTAGTATTTTTTCACGGACCATAATCCAAAACGATTCCGCCAACCTGATCGAATGTGGTATAATATGATTTTCAATTTTAACGACAAACTTTTCGCCTTCTCTAAGAAAGTCATCAACGGTAGGCTTTGATATTAAGTTCTTGCCTTTACAACGGTTCAATATTGATTTGATTTTGGGTAAACGAATATTCTTCGTAATTTCATTAGTCAATTTTTGAATTAGAGTTATAACAATATCCATGCAACTGTCAAACCTCGCTTCTAAAATGGAACCTTTTAACCCTCTATTGAGAGATGAGCAATATTCGAATTTTGCATAGACGCTTTTGAATGCCCCGTTATCATGCAACGACATTATGTCCATAAACTTGTCTAAGATTTGATGTTTGAACGTGTTCATGTTGTTCAAAAAGTTATTGGATTGGCGCCTTTGGCAAGTTTCAAGGGTGTACGACAACATCATTTCCAGCATTATTATTTTTAACGTGCCGATAATCTGACGCTGTCTCTTTTTAAGTTCTTTGACTCCCTCCAACCCACTTGTGATTTCCGGAAAATGTGCTGTGGTAAAGAGTGTTGACCTATTAGAATTGTCGGCCACAAATTCGTCAATAATCAATTTGTAAGTTTCCTTGTCGTGAAAAAGAAACAAGCCGTCCGTTAATGATTCGGACATCGAGAACTCCAATAGTCCTTTCTGACGGTTTTTTTCGAAATTGTTATGCAGTAATCTTTTTTTCTGTCGTATTGCATCTATCACGCTGCCATTGTTTGCAGCACTGGCAGATTCAGCTTCTGAGTTATTACACAAAGACAGTTGGTGCTCTGCCAACGAATTATGGTTTTCGTAATTTATGTTGAAAGAGTTTTCCAATGGACACATGCAGCGGTCCAAGTCTTTTTCAATTTCTGTTAACACGAATTCATGCATCCGTCGTGTTTTGTTTAAAACTTTCGAACTAAACTTACCACCGTCATTAACAATTTGCCCAAAGAAAACCCTTATTTGGCGGGTGTATATAAAAACTAACCAAAGATTTTTTACCTCATAGTTTTTTGGAACCAACAACGAATCGAGCATCATAGACGCTTCTTTATCGAACAAGAAATCCTCAATTGTCTCTGGC